CTGCCCCCGAAAGCAGCCGCTTTTGGGAAGGGCCGGAAGAAGATTAAACGCAAAGAGAGCATTTCGTGTCTCACCGGTCTCCAGGGATGGATCTGTTCTCCCGTGAAAAATAAAATCCGGCTGCAGTGCAGATGAAGAGGGTAAATGTGAGAAAGGGCCAGGCTAAATTCTCACACACGCCCTACGGGGGAAAAACGCCGGGTTGCTAACTAGTGAGGTGAGGCAAACAATAACAATGTCTTTAAGATTCGGGATTTCAGGGTAGGAGCAGGGTTTTTAAACGGTTAGGACAGGATTAAGTGGTAAAACACGAATAAAATATTTTTTGGGAAAATGTATAGGCACGTCAGGAAAGATGTTGAAATGTCGGGTCTCGCCATGCGGGCAGTACGGGAATTAGCTTCCCAAGAGGCACGATGTTAATGCTGTTGCCACCGTGCCTCATAGTTTCTCAGCGAAAAGTGAGCGACTTGAGACAATATCTGAAACTTTTTTAAAAATCACGCGCCTTCTGGGGAAGCTTGGCTTGACAGAATTGTGGCTACTTACTTCTTTACCTTTGATTATGCTTTTCATTAGACTGACCTTGATCAAGTACAAAAACTGTTAAATGCACATTGCTTGAGAGTGGGTTTAAAATTAGTCTTTTCCTTCCCCCCCGGCAGAGATTATAAATACACATTTAAAAGCTTTTTTTTCTTCCCCCACCCATTCCTCCACCACTTCTACCTGCAACGCCTGACTCGGAGACAAACAAGTTTGATGTTCAAACCAAACTCCCCCGACGGCAGAAGTGGGACGCGGGGGGCATGGCCAGCCGGGTTCTGCCCCAGTGCTCCTCCAGCAGCCGTCCCCGCGAGGTACACACCCACCTGGGGTGTGACCCAGCGCAACAGCCTCGAAGGATGGGCTCAAAAAAGGTCTTCCATATATAGTTTTATATAAAATAAGGTTCTTTCAATCTATTTGTTCATTTAGGCAATAAAAGTCGGATTAATAATTTTAACACTGACACCTCTTACAGCATCTCACTAATTATTCTCTGATAAGTACTGTTGTTGAGAAGTGTTTCTTCCAACTCTAGCTGCAGCTAAGCAAGCAATCTTCCCTTTTTCTCGCTCAAATCCACAGCCTACTCGCCACAGCGCAGTACGTTTTGGGGATAGATATGAATTGCTGCACCGTTCATTGATTCCTACTAATGAGCCGGTCTAAACCAACACTGGCGCTAAGTAGCCCGTCTCTAAGCGTACAGACGATGTACAGTTCTTTACCAGACTGGCTGGTTCTTTACGTGTTTTCTATGAGCCACATCGTGGCGAGTAGCAAGAATTGACAGTAACGATTTGGAGAGGAGAGCGTAGGATTTTTTTGCCTCTCTCGTTTTTGCACTAGTCTTTGCATAGCGTCTTAAACATAATGACAGGAATGATAAAAAATTATTTCAAAGGGCCTGTACTTCCCGCTTGCTGCCTCGCGGGGCTAGCTCGAGGGCATTCGGCCTGCCACGGGGACGAGAAAAGACCTCTTCCCGCTTTACATCTCTCCCTGTGGTGAGGTCCCCTCGGAGGGCCTTCACACCTACTGCTGTAAGCTGGGCTGTGCAGGAGCGAGAGGTCAAGAAGGAGGAGGATGGATAGAGGGGCTATGAAAGGGGTGGAGGGAAGCTGGAGTGGGAGGTGGGAGGAGGAAGCTTTCCTACTCGGGCCGCTGTTCCCTGCCCTATGGAAAGCACATTTTGGTCTCATACGGAGTTTCCTCAGCCCCCTGGCTCCACCTCACCCTGATGAGATGTGAGAGGGGAGTCGGGAGCCGCTTCTCGCTCCTTTTCCATGAGCCGCCAAGTCTCCAAGCGGCTGTCATGTGATAGCAAGAGAGCAGGAACTGCGGGGGTCTCGCCACTCGGGCACCATTACAAAACTGCGCCGGAGCGCACAAGCCCTGCCAGCAGCCACGGCGGCCGCCTCCCCGCTCGCCTCCTCTCCCCGCCGACTCCCGGCGCTCGCTGCTGCCGCAAACTTCTAAGGGGACACCAGACTGAGCGGTGAGAGGGATATTTTTATTTCCTTCTTTCCTATCTCTGCAGACGTCAGGGGTAATTTCATGCTCCCGAGCCCTTGGTGCCTGAGGAGCATCAACTCCAACCGAGCGCTCTAGGCGACAGGGGGGAAGCCCGGGAGTCTCGGCGGCCTCCAGAAGAGAAGTGGGACTCCAGCGGGGGCCGGGATCTCCCTCTGGCACGTAGCCCCCGAGCCCCCGCGGCCTGGGCGGCAGCTGTCTCTCCCGCAAGCTGAGGGGCGTTGAGGCAAGCGCGTCCCGCGGGGAGAGGCTGCTGGAGGAAGCCGAGCTCGGAGCTCCCTGGCTGGCCGCCCGGCGGTCGCTGTCGCGTGTGGCCCGGGCAGGTGGAGCCCAGGATGTAGAGGCGGCGGCGGGGCAGGGCAGTGAAGTCCCCGGATCCCAAGCCCGCCGTGCGCGGCATTGAGGGGTGTCTAGTCCGGAG